CTGTGCAGATGCCTGCTGCAAATAAATTGATGGCCGTGAAACAGTACAAGATTCTGGGGGGTATGAAGACATTTCGCAGACCATTAAAGACCTGGTAGATGCAGGAGTCTTACAACCCACTACCACAGCTTGGAATAGGCCTATTTGGCTTGTCAAAAGAGAGTGACAAATCATGGAGAGTGACTGGATTTCACAGAATTAAATTAACACACCCCACCTCTTACAACAACTGTACCAGATATTGTCACCTTGATAGAAAAAATCCAGAAGAATTCCAGAACTTGTTATGCAGTAATTGATTTGGCTAAACCTTTCTTTACCAGACCCATTGCTGAGGAGCACTGGAACCAGTTTGCTTTTACTTGGCAGGGGCGACAATATACGTTCACCAGGTCACCCCAGGGATGGTTGCACAATCCAACCATCTGTCATCAAACAGGGGAATAAAATAACATGTCCCTCGCTCTTAGTAGCACCCAGGCCCAGACATGGGTGCAGAATGTCATTGCGGGTATATTGAGAGATGGAGACAATGGAGTCCTCCCCACCAAGATCTGAAAAATAATGGGGGACACAGCCACAGAGAAAGAACGACAAGTGTGGTGGAGACCTGTGAACTTCACCCATGACCAGGTCCTCAGCGCAGTTATCAATCACCTACCTACTGACCATGGCAGATGTTACCATTGAGAAGGTTTACCGCATCGCAGCCCTGGGAACTAACACCAACAAACCTGTACTCTAGCCGCTTTGCCTCCCCGCCACTCCACCCTGGTCACCGAGTATGGGCAAGTGTGTCTGATAAAAAATGGCAATTGGTAAATCTAGAAGCCTATATTTTAGAATGGGGGCTGGAGATCATATGTGAAGATGATGCCCTTAAGGTGAGCGATTTTTGCTTTGATACCAACGGGTGTGTGTGCCATTTGGGATCAATCTGCAGAGTAATAATAAAACTGCATTAGCTTATGTAGGGAAGTGAGTGTTCTAGAACAATGTGTAAATATGTGCTAAGTAATGAAATCTATAACCAGACTCTGTTTAATGATTCTAATACATGTACTTGCAACGTAGTTATTATTAGAGGCAGTGTTTTTGCGTATAAGCCACCTACCTGTGTTTCACCTGTGAGTCAATTGTTAATTAGACACTATACCCTATATCATGGCATAAACTCAACCCCAATTGGTATGCGTTAGTTGCTTGTAAAAGAGATGTTAGAGCATGCAAAGTTACAACAGCTGTTAGAAAATGCTAAGGCAGAGGCAAAAAAAGATCTTTATAAATGTGAATTATGATAGCAACTTGCTATTGGATGAGGTAGTTGAGACACCAAGAGCCTGGGTCTGGCTAAGCACCTCCTACCATAGTGAAGGGCAAGACTGGGTTGGCCTCTGTGTTTGCCACCAAGAAGAACTTCGAGCTCTGCTATTGGCTGCAACCCATTAGATGTTGAGCGGTGAGGACACATGCCATGCCAGACCGTGATGGCCATCTCTCTCTGAGGGCCATCTAGGAGGCCAATGCAGGCCAAGTGGCCTGCTGTTGACATGAGTAACTTGTGATTGAACATCTCACCCCCAAATCATCATAAGAAGATGCTGCTCTTGTGTGATTTAAGACTCCTTAAGCAGAGCAGAAAGAGCCTAAGGAAAGCCAAGGACCGTGGCTCTAGAAGGGAAGAGAAAAGAAATTAACACCATCTTGATCATGAAACTCAATCAAGAAAATGGGAATATGTCCCTGACATGAAATGTTATTAGCAAGAATAATTAGATGTGTAAAAAAAAATTAAAAATTAAAAAAGAATCAAAAATCATAGAAAGTGCATTGTTGAATGCTTAGCCATGGTATAAGATTTTGTCTTGCAGAACCTGCACGGTTGAATCTACCTGTTTATTGCCACAACTCCTTCAGAAAAGGGTATTATTCATGACACCTGGTCTTGAAACATCAACTTATCTTTGGCTTTAGACGGTTGGACCCCGAATTGCCCTCCTTATGATTATTATTCCTTGTTTAGTTATTTGTGGTGTACAACTAATTAAGCATGCAATACAGGGAATGTGGATGACAGTCATGTTTGAAGAAACAGATCAACCAACAATGTATGTCACTCTTATGGAACAGCCATGATTCACTCTTCAAAGGAAGAGTTGACTTGCAGCTGAATACGGCTCTGCTTTTGTAGCCATTCTTAATCTTTTTACAGCTAATGGAATTTGTTGTTAAATGCGCTCAGAAGCAAGTACTGTCAGTGAGAATGCAAAACAAAAAAAGGGGAGATATGTGAAAAGATGCTGAAATGGCCAGTCTATTAACCCTGACACTGCGTAGGCCCTAGTCCAGCAAGAAACGCATGATAACCAAGAAGCCATGGGAGTAGATACGACAAACTAAACAACCTTTTGTTTAGCCATGTCAATGTGAGTTGTAAGGTTTCTAATTATTGAACTAACTGTATTTTGTTTATCGCTAGTGTGTCCGCTTTGCTTCTTTTTGTGTGTTCAATGGTTAATTGATTGATCATGTAAAAATAGCTATGGCAGTAGAGTAGTTAAATAAAGAAAGGGGAGAAGGGGAGGCCTGCTTCAAGGACAGCAGTATAGGATGCCTCATTAGTGAATAACCAACCTCAAGGACAGCAGTGCAAGTGTTCTTCAGCAAACAAGGAGAAAAAGCAACTGTATGGCTGCTGCTCATAAAAAACTTGCAAAACTAGGATGTTGGCTTGCTAAACCAACAAATGCAACAATGCTTGCTTTAGCGGACTTGCTAGATGATGTAGATTCAGTTCACCACACCATGCTACAAAATAGGACTGCCATAGACTTTTTGCTGTTAGCGCAAGGGCACGAGTGTGAAGATTTTGGTGGGAAGTGTGGTATGAACTTTCTGAGACCATTCTGAATCCATACATAAAAGTATACAAGACCTAAAAGCCTTAACGTCACAACTATGCACAAATGATGGACTTCTTCAGCCCTTGGTGCACACGGGTGGCCAGACTCAAACAAATATTGTTAATGGGATGTATGATGATAACTGTAATCATAATCCTTTGTATGTGCTTTCCATGTTTCATACAATTAATATGGGAGAATATGGGAGTCTCATACAATTAATATGGGAGTCTCATACAATTAATATCGTTTTTTCTTTAGTGGAAAGAACGATGATGGCCACTCTAAAGAAGAATGTGAATTTAGTCACCACTGTTGAAGGGGAAGAGGAAGAAGAAGTTGCTGAACATAAAGGACTCTTGGGAGGTTTTACAGTATTGCCAGAGCTGGCTCCTTGGCTATCGCGTTTTGGGTCCTTAGCTACACCTAGTGCTAGAAAACAAAAAAGGGGGAGATGTGGGGCACTGTAAAGGTAGGTAAAAGGTCGCTGGGTTACTCACAGGTGAGCTACCCAGACAAAATCAGGCAGGGAGATAGGGGGAACCTGAGAAACATGCACAGCTCCTGGATGCGTTGGTCTCTGATTGGCTGCCTTATGGCTGTTAACAGGACTGGACCCAGATAACAATAGAGTCAACGGAGTGGCTGATGGCGTGGGAAAGGGAGCATGCAAACACCTACCCCCACATCTCCAACCAATCCTTCTTTATTTGCTAGTGCCAGGTCCAGCAGCACACTTCTCCTCATTGGCTCCTCCAACATCGGTGTCCAAAAGTTACTATCAATGCTCTTCAGGAAGCGCCGGTACTGTTTGTGTCTAGCTACTCTTTGTGTTGTCTTTCCAGCATGTATCAGAGTGATTGAAGTCCATCATGTGATCAAATATGTTCTTCTTTCTACCTCTCTTTCCATTTATTCATCTTTCTTCATCTAAATTTTGTCTTTTTTCATTAGGCCTATGCTTTTTTTTTTTTTTTTTTTATGATGGTAATTATTATGCTTATCTCTTGCTAATAGCAACAGCATGACTGTTTAGGAACATTGTCTTAAAATATCTTCATTAAGGAGAAAAAAAAAAGAATTTTTTTACTTGGAGGAAAAATCCAGAAGAAGCTTGAAAACCTAGCGAACTCTTTTATATTGGTAATTTGAAAAAAAAAATATATTTTATGGAATAGGAGTCAGTCCTATGTGGGTATATTCTTGCCCTTAGTGCAGTGATTTCTTTGCATCCAAACTCAATTAGGAATCAATCCTGAACTCTGCTCAAGGCCAATGAGTTGCAGCTGTTGCCTCAGAGAAAGGCAAATGGAAGCTACAAAAATACCATGAACCTGTGGTAACTATAAATATTTCAAAGAAAAGTGAAGTATCTGGTGATGTGGTAACTTCTGGAAAGCACTTTAGAATTTCCTGATTCAAAACAAAGAAAAACCACTGGAAGATTGTTGCAGGATAGAAACACTCTCTTTTTTTTTTTTAATACTTCTTATATATTGACTTCTTGACTCCTTTACTGTCATTTGGGATAATAACAAAGACAAGCCCAGGTATGAACTAAGCAGCACAACAAACTGATACCCTGTAATCTCTGAAATTCTTCACTTTTGTTACACTCTGTTAACATCATTTACAGTGCAATTAGTTAAAAAATGTTTGAGTCCTAGGATCCATTTTCACATATCACTGAATCCTAAAATCTAAGAGAAATAGAAAGGGATTTAAGACCTCAAATCATTTTCAACTTAATACTCATACTGTTAAGGAACAAACGGTGCTGTTGAAAGTTTCACTGCATTTTTAGGACTAAAACTTGTGTGGTTTTAAAGCCATCAAACTTTGACTTATGCTCTGCTACAGTTATCTAATTAGTCTGCTTAGTATCTGATGACAGATTTAAGGGCAAATACACACTGACCCACTACAGACTTATGACAAAAGAAGATGATGTATGA